ACCATGGGCAAGTCCCTTAACCCTGATTGCCTCCCCCTCCAAAAAAAATTCCTAACCTAAGAGTTCCCTATGCCAATAAAATGGCGGTTGTGGTTCCGATCCTTACTGGGTATGATGTGGCATCCTAAGTTTGTCTTCCTTGCATTTTCCTTTGTTGATCAGAGAATTTGAGCATCTTTTTACATGATTCTTAATGATTCCTCTTTCGTCTTCCAAATTATATTTCTCTTGGGATTCTTGCCCATCTGATTTTCCATATGAATTTTGGTATGACTTTAATCCTATGAAATAGTCAACTGGCATTTTTATTGTGATTGAGTTATATCTATAAACTAGTTTTGAAAACATTTTTGCTCTGCTGTCTTGACCTGATCGTGATTAAGGATTCCTCTCCATTGACTGAGTTACCAGCAATGTAGATTAGTTAGTTCAACAAAATCAAGTCAGAGCTGGCCTGGCACGGCATGCCAGGAGTAGGTGTAGGGGAGGGGCATAGGTGCTGATGTAGGTAGAGCTCCTGAAGGCTTTTTAAAGACAGCCAGATTCTGTCTTTCAACGGGTAGCACTTTAGGAGGGTATTGATTAAAAACAATTCATTATTTAGGGTGGAGCAGATCATTAAACCAGAGTACTATTAACACCTGGGCTGACGTTTACAAAGGTCCTTGATTAACTGGCAGAAAGGGGCAGTGAATACAAATCCACTGCCTGTTTAGGATTTTCTCTGTATTGGAGTAACTCCTCAAAGAGTTAATGCTCTTCAGAGGTCCAGAACTAAAACTGAAACCAGAAAGCTGTTCAGAAGCAAAATAGTCCTTTCCATGAACTCAGGACATGGGATTATAGATCTAGAGTGGAAAGGACCCCAAGGCTCCAATACTAATTTTACAGTTTGGGTAACTGAGGCACACATACACATAGAGGAACAGTGGCAGAGCTGAGATTCCAATCTGGGTCTCCTGACTCTAACATCAGTGCTCTTCCTGGCCCATCACAGCCACCTAGCCTTGTCAGTGAGTGACCTTGGGGGCAGCCAAGTCTAGCCCAACAAGGAAATCAAAAAGCGGAACAAGGTCTATAAGCCTACTTCAGCACATTTTACATTTGAGGCCCCTCGGAACTTCCAGGTATGAATGGGATAGAAACAGGTGGAGCTGACTTTAGAGGAAAAGTCAGCCCTGGAGGTTCTGTGCGCTTCACTGAGTACACAAACATTCAGGAAGCTTTCAGAACCAAAGCAGTCCCTGCCCTCAAGAAGCTTACATTCTAAGGGGGAACAAAGCACATAGAAAGGAGCTGGTAGACTGAGGGAGGGAGAGGAGACACCCACTGGAGCCTGGTGGAGAAAGTCAAGAGTGGAGTTGAAGGGGTCCCAGGGCCTGAGGGAACTTTCAGGGTGAGGTTCAGAGAAGCACCAGAAGCTATATGTGGAGGATTCAGGGATTAAAAAAGGAAAACAATTCCTGCCCTCAAGGAGCTTACCTTCTAAAGAGAAGATATAAACTATACACCATATATATTATATATTTGTGTGGATGAGTGTGTGCGTGTGTTTATGTGTATATGTATATACATACATGTGTGTATATGTATACACATACATGTGTACATGCACACGCTTATATGTACACATATGTGTGTGTGTGCATATATGTACACATGCCTGTGTGCACGTGTGTGTGCAAATATATAGGCAAAATACATACCATGGAATTTAGGGGAGGCTGGAACGCTAATCACTGGGGCAATCAACAAAGACTTGTAGGAGGTGGCACGGGAGATGAGCCTGGAAGATGGGGAAGAGGAGAAAGTATGCCCCTCCTGCCCACATGGGGGTCAGCCTCGAGGTAAAAGCACAGAGAGGTGACTGGAATAGGAAGCGCTGTGTAGTGGAATCTGCAAAGACAGGTTGGAAAGACATCACGAAGGCTTTAAATGCAAAACCCAGAGTTTGAACCCTATCCTAGAGGACAGGAGAGTGGGTCATTAAAGGAAGTCGGAAGCCGCTGAAACTTCTCAGGCAAGTCAGAGATGTGGTCAGTGCTGTGCTTACTTGGCAGGTGGGTGGATGCTGGATGGGAGAGACTGGAGAAGGGGAGACCAATCAGGCTAGAGGTGACGCCAGGGCCTGAACCAGGGTGGCCGCCATGTTGGCAGAGAGGAGGGGGATGGGCGTGGGATGGCCACAGACTGTCAGGCTCAGCTGAAGTACAAACTAAACTGCCGAAGTGTTTCTTTTTTTCCCTATTTCCTTTTTTATTCTTTGTTATAAGAAATGGCTTGCTGGGAAAGGAAATGGAGAAAAAATATAAACAAATGAGGGTGACATGAAAACAAAGCAATAATTTTTAACATGTATTTTTGCTTTGAGGGGAAGAAAAGTCAAAGGCGACCCCAGACCTTTTCCCCCCAAGGGGACCCAGCCCAAGGCATCCACACTGGGCAAATCCCATTAGCTCGATTCCCTCCTCCCTGGAGCAGTCTACAATCATTCTTGTCTCCACCTGTGTGATTCCTGAGCCTTTCTGTAAACTCCCTTGAGGGGAATCTCTCTTTTCTCTGAGTCTCTGACTACCTCATGGGCACAATGGAGGCCTCAGGTCCCTGATACCACCCACTGTCACCCAAGGATGGGCCCACACCCTTTCCATGGAGCCCCCCAGCCCTCAGGAATGTCTGTGAGTCCTCTTCACAAGTCATCATTGGAGTGGTGGAGGCTACGCAACCACGTTGTAACGATCTGCTATTTATTATGGCATCTGGCAGGTCTGAGCTTTATTTATTTGCTGTCCAAAGTCCTACTTGGGTCCAGAGGGCAAGCAGAAACAAAGCGTCATAAAAAGAAAAGGTATCAGGGCAGCCAGGTGGCGCGGTGGATAGAGCTCTGGCCTGGGAGTCAGGAAGACCTAAGTTCACATCTGGCCTCAGACACTTGATACTTGCTAGCTGTGTGACCCTGGGCAAGTCACTTAACCCTGATAGCCTCACCAAGAAAGAAAGAAAGAAAGAAAGAAAGAAAAAAAGAAAGAAAGAAAGAAAGAAAGAAAGAAAGAAAGAAAGAAAGAAAAGAAAAAAAGAAAGGTATCCACAAAACTTCTCAGCAAGTAGCCAAGGAAGCCCTCCCCTGTTCTCTCTCTAGCTGTACCAGCCCCGGGTCACAGACAGACAAACCTGGACAAAGATGTTCAGGAAATGTTTGTCTTTCAGTTAAATGTATAAACTTCCCAGGGGAGTGGGAAGGGGCAGGGGAGGAGAGGGAAACCTGCTTTAACAAGTGACATTTAAATAGTGAGAGTTGACTTAGTGTAGTAGATCTCTAGTCAGTCAGGAATCCTGCCTCAGACATAACCTGGCTGTGATTGGACCTCGGCAGGTCACTTAACCTCTGCTTGCCTCAGTTTCCTCATATGTAAAACAGAGATAATAACAGCACCTACTTCCCAGGGTTGTTGTGAGGATAGCACATAGTAAGTGCAGTATAAAAGTTATTGTTGTTGTTATTGTTATTATTATTCTACCACACTGTCTTAACACTGGACATACTTTAACCCAAAGAAATACCTCTACTGATCACGGAGATCATGAGTAACACTGATAGGGGAGAAATTTTGGCATGGGGGGCTGCCCACCTCCCTCAAATTCTGCCACCACCACAGAAGGCCAGCCCTGAACTACTCATCTTTTTATACCTTATACCCCCCTCACCCCAATCTTTGAGCCAATGACACTGGTCTCTTTGATGTTCCTCAAACAAGATTCTCCATCTCCCAACTCCAGGCATTTTCCCCAGCTGTGCCCCATGTTTGGAATGTTTTCCCTTGAAACCTTGAGCTTCCTTCAAGGCTAAGCCTAACTGCCATTTCTCAATATAGCTACCCACCCATTCACACACACACACACACACACACACACACACACACACACACACACACAAAGTAATTCACATTTTATATGTACTTTGTACTTACTTGTCCATGTAAATATTGTTCTCCTCCTTCCCACTCTGCTTCTCGTCAAGTGCAATATAAGCTCCTTGAGACTGGAACCGGTGTTCTTGCTATTGTATCCCCAGCGCCCAGCAATGCCCAATGCCCAGCAGGCATTTAATAAATGCTTGTTGAATTGAATTGAACCAACCAATTCAGGAACCATTCTGACAAGTGTATGTGGCATTATGCTGCTGTAGGCTGCCACCTCCCCAACAAGGGGAAGGAAGTATATTTCCTTATATATTCTCTAAGACCAAGATTATTGTTCTTTTCATGTGCATCTCTTATAGTCTTTTGTGTTGTATCGTTTTCCTGGTTCTGCTGATTTCACTTTGCATCAGTTCATACAAGTCTTCCCCAGTCTGATCAAGGCAAAAACAAACCGGGACAACAATTTGTATAATAATACCACATTATTGTATAATAAACACCATAATAACATCAATCAACACAATCACCAGCCATGCTTCTGGAGGACTAAAGATTGAGTTCACTGACCCACCAGTGGAAGAGTTGATCTCAGAGTGGGGAAGACCTGGGTTCAGGTCCTGCCTCTGACATATATAGTGACTGTCTGCCCCTGTGCAAGGTTAAATGTAATCTCTCACTGACCACAAGCATCTCCCAAAATTATAAACTGCGCAGCAGGCTCTGCACTGGTAGAAAAAATTACTCAGTGGGAGCCCCAGGGCCAATGAAATCCTCTGTATAACCCTGGAACCCTCAGGACAGGACGCATCAGAAGGAGCCCTGCATCTGCAGCCAGGTGGCATCTGGAATCCTGGCTCCACTCCTACTCCTGTGTGACCTTGGGCTAGTGGCTTGACCTCTCTGGGCCTCCATTTCCCATCTGCAGAATGAGGCGATTGGAACAGAGGGGTCGATTTCAGCTCTAAAACTCTGATCGTTTGAATTTGCTTCTACCTCAGGAATGGGGGACGCCACCGCAGGTGAGTTTGGGCCTTGCCATCTTCCCTAACGTGTGTGCCCTCGTTGCCCCTCTCTTCACAGCTTCGTTGTACTCTGAAATGCAGAGGGATAGAACAGAGAGAGCTGGGGGAGTCATCGCCCATCCGGACTACAAGGATTGGAACGCAGAACTCATCAAACCCAAGAAGCTGACGAATCCTGTCAAAGCCTCCAGAAGTCACCAGGAGCTCCACAGGGAGCTCCTCATGAACCACAGAAGGTGAGGAGAGGCCATGGAATCTCTTCCCCATCGCGTAGACCAGGGGTGGAGAACTTGTGGCCTCGAGGCCACATGTGGCCCTCTAGGTCCTCAAGTGTGGCCCTTTGGATTCAGTCAAAGGTCACATGTGGCCTTGAAGCTGCAGGTTCCCCACCCCTGGCTTAGACCAAGGGATACCCTGAGCATCCTCAGCTGAAGCCTCTGGGTTGTCATGGAAACTGGGGACCAAAACTATCTAGATTTAGAGGGTTAAAGTCTCACCTCTGACACATACAAACTATCTCAGTGGTCTCCAGGTTTTTTAAAATTATGTACCCCTGTCAGTTATGCATGGATCCAATAGCTGTATATTTACTTATTTATATGCTTATATAGAAATATATTTATTATATAAATAAGTACATATACTTAATATATACATATATTATATACTCATAATTACTCACAGTTATGATAGTTAATTAAAATATACAGAATAATAAATATAATTATGATTATGTTACTTATGATTACTAATAATTACATTCATTATAAATCTTACACAAAAATTGAAATTTAAAAAGGGGAAATAAAGATGAAATATTTTGGAAATATTTTTTACTCAGTAGGGGCACAAAAAACCTTTTTGCTCTAACTAAAATTATTATTAATAATATTTTCATAAAAGCTATGGGATGGAATATGCTTCATTATTTTTTGAAATCTTGGTTAAATTCCTTGCAATACAGCAATTTCTGACCTCAGACACTTACCAGCTCTATGACCTTGGGCAAGTCCCTTAACCCTGTTTGCCTCAGTTTCCTTATCTGTAAAACGAGCTGAAGAAGGACATGCAAACCACTCCAGTATCTTTGCCAAGAAAACCCTAATGGGGTCACGAAGCATTGGACGTGACTGAACAACAGCAACGATGATATAGGGATTTAGAATTTTAGTCCTATGTCCTTTATTTCAGTACGTGGTTTCAATAGCTATCATAGCTTTAAAAAAAATGTCACACAAGACTCTGAAGGCCCCCGTGGAAGGGCATCGCCAGCTACACTGAAACATGATCTTCATTTTTCCACGCCATCCACCAATCGTGCAAAGGCTTTTGATGGAATCCAGGTGGTAAATTTCCATCTTCCCTGATGTCAATCAGTTGTTCTTACAAACCAGTCAGAAGGTATTCCAATTTTATATTTTTAGCAAATGCATTCAAAACCCACTGAAACTCTGGAAGATTTTTAAACACATTTCAAAATTCCGTTTTTAACTTTTCACTGTATAAATATGAGAAATTTTACAGGTGACACAGATCATTTTCAGCAACCCAGAGAGGAGAGGGTGGTCCACAGTAGAGGCTGCAGGGCCATCAGGAAGGATGAAGACTGAGAAAAGTCCACTCTATTTGGCAATTATGAGATTCTTGGAGATGGAGCAGTTCTCATTTGAGAGGGAAGTCAAGTGTAATGAGAGAGATAATGAACTTGGGAGCCTGGAGGGATGTTGGTGCCCTTGAAGGAAAGAGGGAAGTTTGGTAGAGGAGGGAAAGACAATGTGATGAGGTGGGCAATGGATCCCATCCACAATCTACTCATTGTGTTTCCAATAGAAAGTGAAAAGTAGGAGCTGGGTCTCTCTCACCAGCCACTGACAGACCTGGATCAAGGTCAAGTTAACCACCATGAGGGTATAACAGTGCCCCAAGGGAGGCCAGCATCAGGAGGGGATGAGAGTGTTAGTCAATAATGGATGAGCGAGGTCATGGAGCCATGTTGGGGACAAGTCCATGATTGGCTACTGGGGGTGGCAGGTGGTGGATGCAGCCCATCTGCCCTACTGGTTGGCATCAGGCTGTCCCCAGAGCTAGGTGACCATGGACCTCTCAGAGCCTCAGTTTCTTTATCTGTAAAATGAAAGTGATAGTTTCACTAGAAAAGAATATGATAGTTGTGACTTGAAGAGCTTTCCCCTTGGAGAGGGATTAGATTGGTTCTTTTTGGCCCCAGAGGTAAAACTAGGAGAAAATGGGTAAAAGAGGCAGGGTACCACTGGATTTGGAGCCCAAGGAGCTGGGTTCAAATCCCACTGCTGTCACATGCTAACTCTGTGACTGTGGGCAAGTCATTTAGCCTCTCAGCATCCCCAGACTACTCTCTAAGACTAACCCTGTCTCTTGCATGTGACTCAGGACAAAGCATTTTAGAGAATTCACAAAATACAGTTTCCACGCTGAGTTCCCCATCCCAGTGAAACACCAGATCCAGACCAAAAACACTAAATAAAGGCTATGCATAAGGTAGGGCATTCCAACCCCTTTTCTTTATTAAGGACTATTATAGTTCAGGTAATAATGCCACTTTCCCCAAAGGTCTGACTGAGTAAAATAATCAGATTGATTCTATATTGTTTTTTGTGGCTCTTATTTACAATTAATTGAACTTTGTCCTGTAACTGCCTAAGTCATGGTTCTTTGTGTCTGAACTTAGTTCAGAAATTCAGCTGGCCTGTAATAAGTTAAGTTTAGAAATCCAGTTTTCCTGGTAATTACTGCTCTATTTCTGCCTCAAGGAAATCCGTCATCCTTGAGGGATGCAGTTGGACACCAGGGAGTCTGGTCTAGTATCTTTGCATCACCAAGCTACCCTTCAAGGATGTCTGGTTTGCTCTCCGAAGAAGTCTGGTTCATTCTTTCTGACCTTGCAGATGGACTCCAGCAATAAACACTTCTCTGGCACAGGCAGGAAGGAGGGGGTTGTTGCCAGCCTTGCATTCCTGATTTCCAATCAATCATATCATCCCCCACGCCTCAACTCTACAGTTTCACACTGGTCAAAGGGCCGCACTTGAGGACCTAAAGGGCCCCACGTGGCCTTGAGGCCGCAGGTTCCCCACCCCTGGTTCAGGGAGTTTGCCAGAAGCCAGCTGAGGTCACGAGCCCAGAACGTCCCCAAAGAAAACACTGTGCAATAAGGAAGGCTTTCAGTTGCCCCCTGCCATGCCTTCTGTCTTTTATAAGTCATATAAAGATAACTCATTCTGCTTGGCCCTGGTGGGAAGGACAAGGAACACTGGGGTGAGAGGGAGGGAAGTCCGTGTCGGCTCGATAACAGAAGAGCTCCCGGACCAAAAGGAGAATGGCCAGTAGTGAGTTCGGTCCCTGGGGGTCCTCAAGCAGCAACAGGATGAGATCAGTCAATCAGTGAGCATTCATTAAGTGCCTACTGTGTGCCAGGCACTGCGCTAAGAGCTGGGATGTTAGAGAGGGGGCTCTGGTTGAACCTCTCATGGATGTCCCCTCTGCCACTGGAATCCTATGCCTGGTGACAGTCTACTGGCCAGGAGGGGCCACAATTCCTCTGGACTCCAAGTGTCCCCAGGAGTGATGTCTCCCCACCCTTTTAGCCTTCAGATCACTCCATTCACAGTCACAGAACCACAGATTTTTTTTTTCTATCTTTCCTGATCTCAAATCTCAATTGTCCTTCTTGCCTTCCTCATTCCCTTGTTCTACCCTCTGGGGCAGGGTCAAATGCATCTAATCCCTCTTCCCTTCAAATTCTGGTGTGGCACAATGTGACGGTCACCCAGCATCCTGGCTGCCCTCCTCTGGGTGCTTTCTAGCTAAACTGGGGTGCCCAGAACTGAGCAGATGTGGTCGGGCCAGGGACTGTGTCCTCCTGACTTCTGAGAACAAGGTTTCCCTGAATGTAGCCCCAGACTGAAAGAGCTCTTCTGGCCTCCGTGTCACATGACTGGCTCCTTTGGAGCTTGCAGTCCACTAGGACTTCAAGATATTTTTCAGATGAACTTCCATCTCGTCCTCATGAAGTTGATTTTTTTAACCCTGAATAATAAGGCTACTTGTATCCCCGTTGTGGTCACTGGCCACAGCAGCAGCAACCACCAACTTTTCGGAGTTCTAGTTCTTGCCCTGGTAAATGACCATGAGAGATGCAGCCTTGGGATTAGGAAGACCGTGGTCCAAACCCCAGCCACCAGCCTCTCACACATACTTGCTGTGTGACCATGGGCAAACCGCTTAATCTCTTATTGCCCCTAAGAAATTCTCCAAGACAATAAACTGAAAAATATTTTGCCATTCTGCATTGGTAGAAGGAGGGTTCCTATACCTATGAAGTCACAAAACAAGACCAAAAAATAACACCATCAGAGAGGCAGGATAGTACAATGGTTAGAGCTCTGGGCTTACAGTCAAACCCTACCTCTGGCCTAGCAGTTGAGTGACTGGGCAAGTCACTTAAAATCTCCAAACCTCAAGCAGTTAGCTACTTACGACTGACCCATTACAACATAGATCCTGCCTTAACAGGAATCCTCCTATTTGAGTAAATAACCATCACTATAGTTCTAGTTTTCACTGTACACTTGGTTCTACAGTAGAAAAATGCACTCCCCACAAGCCCTCCCCACAAGTGCATTTTGTGTAATTCGCTTTGGAGCCAACAATGAGCAGAGCTCACATTCCTCTGTCACTCTAAGGTTTACAAAGAGCTTTCCTCTCCACACCTTAGGAGGGAAGTAGCGCAAGCTTCTTATCCTCCCTATTTTGCAGGAGGGAGCTAAGGCTCAGGGAGAGGCAGTGACCTGCCCAGGGTCACGCAGCTGGAAGTGCCACAGCCTGGACTGGAGCTCCAATTTCCTGTCTCCAGGATCAGTGCCTCTACAGAGTGGCATCTCCCTTCCTGCTGTGGTCTGAGTCATCAAGGATAGGAGAGAGTAGGGAGGCTGAGAGTCTCTCATACTCTATGTTCATTCCACCCATTCTTATATCCAATTCATGAGCAGGTGGACATATTACCGTTCTGATGTCATCGGTCCTTTTCAAGAAGAAAGGGTGAAAAAAAATTTTTTAAAAGAAAGGGGAGCAGCTAGGTGTCGCAGTGGATAGAACACCAGCCCTGGAGTCAGGAGGACCTGAGTTCAAATCCAGCATCAGACACATGACACTTACTAGCTTTGTGACCCTGGCCAAGTCATTTAACCCCATTGCTTAGCCGAAAAAAAAAGAAGAAGAAGAAAGGGAGAATAACAACCCCAAAAGTACAACATCTTGATTTTTGAAGTAACTCTCCCAGACAGCTGGCAACCTGAAGTAAATCCCCTTCATGCCCCAATTTTATTGACAGGCAAACCGAGCTTCACAGACTCCCCAAGCTCCCATGGTGGTAGGGGGCAGGAGAAGCCAAAGTAGCAGGCAGCCCCTTCATTTCTATGTTCAGATGCCAAGGTCTCATTTTCACAAGGAGCAATAGGAAATCATGAGCTGAGGCAGTAGGATGGGAACCCAAGCCAGATGCCTTTTTTTCCACTAAGACTCTTTCCTTGTTCCCTCCCTGCCCTGCCTCACCCCTGCCCCCACCCTGACACCTGCAGAGGCCTGGGAGTGGACAGCAAGCCGGAGCTGCAGCGGGTCCTGGAGCACCGGCGGCGGAATCAGCTGCTTAGGCTGAAGAAGGAAGAGGAAGAGGCCAAGAAACTCAAGTCGCCATTCGAACAGGAGCTGCTGAAGAGACAGCAACGCCTGGAGGAGGTAGAAAAGGTCCCAACAAATTCAGGATGTGTTAAAGTGAGAGGCCGCCCTGGCGCAGGGCAAGGAAGAGGGGAGAAGGGAGCGCAGCGTGGCAGGGGAGGCAAGGGCCGGCCACGCAGAGGAGTGTGGGCCTGGAAGGCCGGCCAGGCCCTGCCGCCCACCCGCCAGCTGGGCACTTGGGGCAAGCGGCCTCTGGGATTGGTAAAGTGAAGGGATTAGACAAGATGTACAGGTCCTTTGTAGGCTCCTGGGAATGCAACGAGTGAGATCAGGGCTCTCACTGCATGAGATCGGGGCTGTCACTGCATCACCAAGGGAAACAGAAACCTCCTCTGGGAGTCAATGATGCTCCCTGGACAAAGGCATCCAGGGCCTTTCAGAGAATAAGAACTCTGAAATAACGTCTCAAGTTTTACCAGGGACTTTGCCCGCAAAGTGGGGCCTGCAAGTACTGTTACCCCAATTTTACTGATGGAGAAACTGAGTCTCAAAGAACAGAAGTGATGCAACATAGGATGAGAGAACTGGGTTTGGAGCCAGGATCTTGCCTGTTCTTCTTTCTGACCTTGGGCAGTGTTTAACTTCTCCAGTCCTCGGTTTCCTCCTGTATAAAATGTGGGTTCTGGACTGGATCTCTAAGCTTTCTTCCTGATGTAACACTGGTTCTGTGAAGCCAGAGTCTCAGATTAGGTTTCTTACTACAACATGGTCAGCAAAATGTCCTCTGGAATTGAGAGGCGCTATATGGCGGCCCCGAGGTGCAGTGGATAGAGCCCTGTTGAGTCAGGAAGACTCATCTTCCTGAGTTCAAATCCAGCCTCAGACACTTAGTGGCTGTGTGACCCTGGACGAGTCACTTCACCCTGTTTGCTTCAGTTTCCTCATCTGTAAAACGAGCTGGAGAAGGAAATGACAAACCACTCCAAATGGGGTCACAGAGAGTCAGACAAAATTGAACAACAAATTAGGACAGGGCAAAAAGAAATCTGGATAATAGCTCCAGGTAATGACAAGAAGATATTTATATAGTGTTTTAATTAAGAGGCAGTCTTTTCTTCATAACCACCAGTGAGATAGGTAACATAAACCATATAGGTAGATAAATGAGTTAGCATCTCATGTAAAGTGTTTTACAAACCCTAAAGCAATAAATAAATGCTAGGTATTATTACCAGTACTATGATCCCCATCTATAAAATGGGGATCATAGTACTGGTGGAGAGAGCACTGGATGTGCAGTCAGAAGACCCAGGTTCAAATTTTTGCTCAGCTCCTTTGTATTTGAATGACCCTGTGTGAGTCACTTACCATCGAGGGGTCTAAGTTTTATAGGGTCCTGGCTTATCCCCTTGGATAAGGGGATCTTATCCAACCCCTTCATTTTATAGACCTAGAAAGAATAAATGAATTGGCCAAAGTCACACTGGGAATGTATGCAGTAAGTCTCAGAGGTAGGATAGGAACCCAGGGCTCTTCTCACTGGACCACACTGCTGCCCGATCTACAGGAGTGATGTATGGAACTGACCAAGGTGCTGCCAGGCAGCTCCAAGCTCTGCCCAGGTTAGATTCAGTCCCAGATCTCCTGAGTCAAGGTCCACTAACACAGTGCTGGGCACAGAGTAAGAGCTTAATAGATGCTCATCGATCAACTAAGATCAAGAAATAGCCCCAGCATTCCCCCTTGACATATTGACTTCTCTTTTCTTCAGATGGAAAAAGAAACCAGAAAGGAAGAAGACCAGGCCCCTGAGTTTATTAAAGTGAAAGAAAATCTTCGGCGTATTGCCACAATAGCGGGGGAGGAGCAAGTCTAGCAGGTGAGGACAGAGCTACGTGGCATTCACTAGGACTCCCGGAGCCTCGACCCCAGCAGCATCCACACCCACCTGTACCCCGGCATCTCTGTGTACCACATGGACATCGGCAACCAGACCTTTGGGACTCCCTCCTCACACTAACGCTTGCTCCAAAATGCCTCGTGCTGGCTCTGGGTCCAGAACAGGGTCGTTTTAATGGTCAATGTACATGTAGCACTTCCTAGTAGGACTCTTCCCATGAGGATGGCCAAGGCGCCACTGCCAGGGCCTCTCCTCCCTGCAGGCACACTAACATCTAGATCTCTTCTCTCTCAGTAACAACTCCCAGGTGTATTCTGAGCAAAGATCTGACCACATCTGTTGAAGGAGAGGGAAGGCCCACACCCAAGTGTTTTTGTCTGAAGGGAAAGCTTGAGACTTAGTGAACCAGATGTCATTGACATTATCAGCTTGAGAGTCACAGCGGTCACTTAGTGATGGCCTCTCTGTGGTCTGCCCCTCGCTGATCCACAGAAACGACCTGGGCTTGAATCTGCCCAGGGACTGTAAGCTAAGATGTCCTGATCAGAGCCTGGCCTCGCCTGGTCAAAATAAAGCTGCCAAGTGTTTGGAAGCCTGAGTTCCCATTTCCCCCTAGACTGGCCAGCCGTAGGGCTTGAAGTCAGCAGCATGGAGATGATCATTCTCGGGGTCAGGATCAGCCACACCTGCTCGGGGGATGGCATCACCCTAGGCTGTCATGACGGGATTACCAAGATGCCCTCCCCAGCCCACCCCCTAGGAGCAAGCTAACCTATCCAGTGTTCACATCCAATGTTCACACCTGACTTACTAGGCTCCTTCTGACCATCCCCTCCATTTATATTTCTGCCTCCTGGGGCGTCTCCTTACCCAGCCACTCCCCAACCCTGAGCTACCTGCACTCTCTCCAGTTCTGTGCCATTCTGTGATGCCTTGTATTATTGAGAAAACTGGAGAATGTTTATCTCCCAGGTCCCCCACCCCTGTTGCTCAAATTGGCCCCCTATATTATTATTTCAAACAGAATTCTGCCCAGAACACTAAAAATGAAGACAGGAACCACACTTAAAAAACCCCCAAAACTTTAAGGGGCAGCTGGGTGGCACAGAGGATAGAACACCGGCCCTGAAGTCAGGAGGACCTGAGTTCAAATCCAGCCTCAGACCAAACACTTGACACTTACTAGCTGTGTGACCCTGGGCAAGTCACTTAACCCCAATTGCCTAAAAAACAAAAAATTAAAATTAAAAAAAATTTTTTAAAATAAAAAAAATAAAAGAATTCTGCCCAGGAAAGGAAGTCCTGGGCAGAGCGGGACACAGAGAGAGCAGGGACAGCTGAGACCACACTTTGCCCCTCCAGTCCCTTGCCAGGATCTGTCCAATCTGGAATAGTCATACAAAGCCAGTGTGTCTGTTCATGCCAGTTACCCCAATGCAGCAGCCCCTGGGCTGAGAGCTAAACCATACCCCACAACCTCCCTGGTCTAACTGCCTATCAGAGGCAGACCAAAGGAAGCTTGGAGACTATAAAACAGCTTAAAACAAAACTGTGACAGCCCTGTGTAGTGAAGAGAAAGCCCACCCGAGAATCAGGAAGAACTAGGCCCATACTGACGGCCTGGTCCCCAGCAGAGCACCAGGCCCTCAGTGCCCAGGCATTAAGACAAGGAGTTTCAGGGAATGTGCTGACCTGCACTGGTCTGAATCACAGATCTGGGCTAAGCAAAACAAAACATCTAAATGAAGGAATGATTAAATAAAACTGTGCTGAAGTAGATCGAATATCTTTAAGCTGTGTAAAAATTCCAGTTGCTGGTAGAACCTTCATGGATGAGATAAGCCTGAATTGAGTGAAGTGCAGAACCTGAAACCAAGGTCTTTTCCAAACCAGTTCATCTCCCTAGAGTAACACAGGCCCTGTCCAACATTCCTGACGTGTCATCTAGCCTGTGCTGAAGGCTCCCAGTCAGGGGCACTCCACTACCTCATGGGGCAGCCCATCTCCCTCCGGAGGCGGCTAGGATTTGGGCTAGCTGACATCATGTCTCATCTCGTCTCTTGGCGATCTCTACCCATGGCTCCTTTTGACTGACATAGCCAGTCACTCACACTGAGCTCGTCTCCTACACTAATTTTTTTCTTTTTAAGAAAGAAGATTTAAGAAACAAAACAAGCTCACCATCTTCCCTCTTTAAAATTACATTCTCGGGGCTCTGCTAAAAAGGCATCCAAGGTACAACCAGAGGTTGAAAGCCCTCTCTCCAGGCTCTGCAAGTTCAGTTTAAAAAAAAAAGCCTGTTGATTCATATTTCTTTGATGGCCAAGAAAGTCGACCACAAGAAAACTATCAGACTGGTTTTACTTTCCTAACTGACCAATTCCAGGTACAAATGTTGGTTGGATCGAATTGAACTGAACTGAATCACATCACTCCCTGGTAATGCTGGAAGGGACTTTGGAAACAGAGTCCAATGCCCTTGTGAAAGATACATGAGGAAACTGAGGCCCAGACCAGGAAAGGCCCAGAGTCACGTGGCTAGTAAGCGGCCACCCGGGGACCTGCCTTTAGATCTCTTCACCCCAAGAACGGCGCCCTTTACATGAGACCATGCCGGCTTCTTGGAGGATGTTCCTGTCCAATGCACTGATGGTCTGCAGGAAAGTGCGGAATAGGCAGGTGTGATCTGTATTGTGGAGTCTGCCTTCTAAAAGGACAACTGGAGGTGACCCCAGTGCGATAATGTTAACATCCTCCAGATCCCACCAAAAGCGATGCCTGGCTCCAAAATAAAGCTGAGAGTTCTCCAGTTTCCTCAAGAAGCTCACTTGAAATGTCTCTTTACTGTTCTGAGTTGAGAAGGACATGGGCCAGTTGAGTAGGGCAGGAAAAGCAGGCCTGGGAAAGGGAGAGAGAACACCAGCAAGTGGGCACTGGGAAGGTCTGAGGGGCAAGGGGAGGAGGCAGCTTGGAATCCAAATGGTGGCTGGCAGTGGCTCTGCCCCTGGCATCCACAGATTCTCAAAGACCAAGAAGTGGGAAGATGAAAGACTTTTCATTTGTCTGAGGGCATTGTGATATAGTAGAAAGAGCACTGGCCCTGAGTTCATATCCTGTTTGTCTTTGGGCAAGTCACTTAATTAATGTCTTTGAGCCTCAGTTTCCTCATCTGTAAAATGAGGGGGTTGGGCCAGATGGTTCCTAAGATGTATTTTAATTTTAGATCCATGATTCCATTATCTCAGTTTGGGAAGCTTTAGATTTGAGGAACCCAAGGTCTCCTCTCAGAGAATTCTGATGGTCTGGCTACAGACAGTATCCAGAGTTGAGAAACAGAGGTTCTCTTACCCTAGATCTATACCACACTGTGCCTCAATGTGACCATAGAGCATACGGGGACTTGAAATACATAAACAGAGCCCACGAATTCTGGCCAGAGGAGTCCAGAAGTATGACTAAAAGGGAGGGAGGATGCAGTGTGAAGGAAGGTGATTTGTGTGTCTCAGTCACAGGGTATAAGGAGGATAGTGGAGCATAAGTGGCCAGCGTGGTGTCGGGAATAGTGGGGAAGGACTGCTGGAGAGATGAGACACGTGACATGGGATATACATGAGACGCTGGGTGAGAGCCAGAACTCAGGTGGGGCAATTGGGGCGTTAGCCCAGGGAACCTGTATGTGCAGTTCTTCAGCGGCACAGATTCAACAGACCTCAGCACTTCCTTTGTGGGGAAAGGGAGTTGTTTTCCAGACCCATGATGGTGTCTGTGTAGAGAACCCCTGGGGAGGAGCTCCCTTCACCAATGAAGCAGCAGCTGCCTGTAACATTTAGTCTGGGAGAGTTACCAGAAGACAACCAGTCAGCAAGAGCTTGCTAGAGCATGGAGCACAGGAAGCTACCAGATGGTGACTGAGGTGAGATCCTCCTCTACCCTACCTAGGAACCCCCCTCCTCCAAAAAAGAGGTTGGTATAGGAATATAATAGAATACTTCTGTGTCTTTAGCAATGGCAAGTGTGAAGATCACAAAGAAATACGGGGACACTTAATAGGAAGAAGGAATCCAGACCAGTAATGTACCCCCGAGTTATAACTATGTAAACAAGCAACAATAACAACAGCAACATAGTCTGAGAAACATTCATCTGGTCCAACCACATGTGTACAAGGAGGAAACTGAGGCTCAGAGACAGGGTGACTTGTCAAAGGCCACGTGGTGACTTGGCGGCAGA